ATGGAGGACAGAAAGCTGTGGAGAACTGTTGTCAATGGATCTCGGGAATACTACCCGCCTTAAGTCAAGTAAGTCAAGTCAAGTAAGTTATAGATGAGAGTAGCTGTTTCTTATACGAATCACTTAAGCTTTTAACATCGGGCAGATTTCGTAGATCTGTTGGAACATTATTCCAACATTTTGCCCCCAAGTATTGAAAGTTTTTATGTGATGTTGATCTATTAATATATAGGTTGCAGCTTTCGCCGCTCCTACTACCTCCTGATATGTAACTAAATTTGTTCATAAAGTTTGTAGGACAATTGTCATGGATGATTCCAAACATATAATTTGACAGAGTTGTCGTCTAAGATGGAGTGGTAACCATTTCATGTCTCTATAAACATTAAGGCTGCTCTCTGTTTGTGGAACGTTGAGAGCTATTTTGGCTACCTTTTTGTACAGAGTGTCAAGTTCAGCAAGTTTTGTCTTGCCAGCTCTACAATAGATCGTGTCTAAATAATCGAATTGTGGCAACATGAGTGCATTGGCAAACATTTTCCTATATTTAATGGGTAGCAGTGCTTTGCTTCTATACATGGCACCAATTCTCTTCATGACCTTCCTAATAATATAATCTACATGGCTTTTGAAGTTTAATTTACTATCTAGAATGAGGCCAAGATATTTTGTCTCTTTGCACTCCTTGATTGTGAAAGTTACCTCATTACATTCAATGGTTAGTTCATCATGTTGATCAACAGAATCAAACAATAGGAATTCAGTCTTCTTTTCATTGAGTGATAATTTATTAACACTGAGCCATTTAAAGATTGTCATAAGTTCTATTTTCATGTTTATAAATGTGCTTCTGCAGGTTTGATCAAAGAATAGTGCACCATCATCTGCAAATAGAAAGGGCTTAGATAGGTTACAGGCATAAATGATGTCATTTATGAAGATACTAAATAATATAGGCCCAATGATGCTTCCTTGTGGTACACCACTCAGAACTTCTAAAAATGAGCTTATTTTGCCATTGATCCTTGTGCATTGATATCTACAAGATAAGAAGTTCTTAAACCAAGTTAAAGCAATGCCACCAATTCCATAATATGCCAATTTTTGAAGCAATATTTCATGATTCACTGTGTCAAAGGCCTTCTTAAGATCAAGAAAGATGATTCCTGGTTTATAAGACTTAGATTTACTCATATATATTTCGTCCATCAGATCGTACATCAAATAAGTTGTGGAGTGATTTTTCCGAAAGCCATATTGATGCCGGATGAAAAGTGTGTTCTCTTCCATGTAATCAGTGAGTTGCTTGCCGACAAAGTATTCTATAAGTTTTCCTATAAGTGGAAGGATGGATATTGGCCTGTAATTATTAGGATCATCTTTCATTCCTGCCTTATGGATGGGAGTTACTCTAGCTTTTTTACAAAGGGTTGGTACAACACCTGTATTAAGGCTCAAATTGACAATATGGGTCAGTGGTTCAACTATGTGTGGTACAGCTTGCTTAAGTAAAAATAGAGGCACATCGTCATATGAGGCCTTGTCATTCTTGAGCGTTTCGACATACATTAGGATATCAGTTTCATTTATTTCTTGGAATCTATCAAATGAGATGTTAGAAGTTCTAGGAGGTAAAAAATCAGTAAAACTAACTCTTTCAATATTGGGGGCCTGATTTTGTAATCTTGATCCAACATTTGCAAAATGAAAGTTAAATAGCTCAGGATCATTCTCATTGATAGTTTGACAATTAGTTGTACCAGGGGTCATATTTGATGCCAGTTTGATAGTTTTCCATATCCCTTTAATATCATTCTTGGCACTTTTAACTTGTAGATCATCGATTACATTAGCCTTTTTGCAGGTTTTAGCTAATTTATTTCTAATATTTCTCTGAATCTTGTAGCAATCCCAGGCCTCATTACACTTTATACATTTGCTACATGTACCACATTTATTGCAATTTCCATTGTCTCTCTTATCCTTCTTTTTACGGAATTTCTTTAGAAGAAAATGTGTATGATTAATGGCATTTAAAAGTTCAGTAGAAGGTTTATGTATGAACTTTTCATGCCTTTCTATGGTCTTGCAAGGGAAGAAGGTTGCATATGCCTGTTCAATATGATGACAAAGGCCAGCAGTGATAGCTTCAACATCTGTACTTTCCAATAGTGGACTGTAATCAGAACAGGTATCTAGATAGTCTAAGAATTGTTTAACATTACGTTTACAATGATTTCTAATTTCAACCTTTTCAAATTTAGGAGCTATAGGTACTTTACAATCTATCTCACACATAATAGCTTGATGATCCCCAATACGTTCATCAAGAACAGAAGATTGAACAAAATCTGCATAACAGTTAGTGAATATTACATCAATAGTAGTCTGGGTAAAATTGTCTCCACGTTTAGCAACTCTAGTTATCCCTTGAATGGTTTGAACTAGATTGTAACATCTCAAGGTCATATCTAATTTTTTGTACTGGGTGGATGAGATATTATTCTGGTCAATGTTTATATCCCCAATCCAGATAACCTTTTTCCCATTCAATTTTTTCATGCAAAAATGAATGTACTCAATAAAGTTATCAACACTGCAATAATTTCCAGAGCGATAGAAGCAGCAAACATTGATCTTGCTATTCTTAAGCTTCACCCATAATGCTTCAATGTTATCAAGCTTACTATCCATAACTAATTCTGTGTAAGCTAGTTTTTTGTTTATCATTAAGCCACAACCACCCCTAGAACTGTTTGGCCTGTCGCATCGCATAAGGTTGAAGGAGGAAGGAATATTTATGGTGTCTGTGTCAATAGTATCATTAAGATTCATCTCATTTAGGGAAAGTATGTCTAATTTATGATCTCTAATAAGTTGGGAAAGTTCATTACTTTTAGCTAAATTAAGAAGCCCTCCTTGAATGTTACAATGACCAATGCAGAGGTTGTGAAACCTATCAGCTGCATTATTAAAATTTGTCATCTTGTGAATCTTATTAATTCACAATGGAATGAATAAAAGTTGTAAAGTTGTGTTTAAACTAAAAAACAGAATAGAAGCAGGTTGTATTTGTCTGGATGTCGTACTGTAAAAATAAAACTGATGGTAGGAGTGTTATGTCAGTATTCAGCAGTATTCTAATGGTGTGCATGATACTTCAAGTGCCTTGCTAATTTAACTATGCCATAATCATTGAGATGGACATTATCCTCTCCATAACTACTAAAAAATGACGATTTTCTAAAGCCTTTCTTATCACTAAACAAGAAACGATTTGTCTCGGTTGAGAGCAGTTTTACATAGGTGTATTTTCTTTGCAGAGAAGATATACATCCATTGATATCTGTTATAACCTTGTTTCTGGAGAAACTCTCCCGAGGTAATAAGTTAACAATTTTAATATCAGCTCCAGGTGCCCACTTGTGAAGGAAAAGTACAAGTTTTTCAATACAATTGTTTGTAAAGTCAAGAGCTCTAGCATCACCAGAAAAACTATCAGGGCACAGAAGTTTAGTCCTCATGTTGCGAGGGCTGTTCAGGATAGAGTCCACGTCATTTGTACCACACATAAGTACAATGCTTTTCACATTATTGGTATTAAGAGTGTCTTTTCTTACATCTGATTGAAACCGTTCATTGATTGCATTGGCTGTGGCACCAGGGTAGCTGAATACATGTGCCTCATGTTGTTTGGACGATAGCTTTTCTCCCTCTAATTTGGAGAACATACTAGAGCTAATGTAGACACACAAAGATTTACCAGAATGTTCTATTGATCTAGTCTTAGGGGCCGAGGGTTCAGTGTTTTTAACTTGACTGGAAACATCAGACAGAGTAGATAAGGTTGCGCTGCCATCAATTAGGCGCAGAGTAATGCTTATTCTCATGGTTTTAGACTTGTCCTGGATGAGGCTGTGTTCAAAGCTGGTCTGGGATTGTCTGGTCATATTCATTATGTCACCATGGGAGAGGGTAAGGTCAGCAATATGAGCTCTAAGTTTGGATCTGAAGCTTAGGACTCTAGTAGCCCCTAAAGAGATGGTGGAGATCATGGAGCCTGGTGAAATTGACCTCTCGTCATCCGAGTGAAAGGGAATTCCTTGCTGACCATTTCTATACTTGGTAATCATAGCACTATTGAATTTTAACTTTGGGAACTGTGAGCGTAAGCGTTCTAAAATAGACTTTAGGTAGGGATTGTCTGCTACTGGCCTAGTGTTATGAAAGCCTCCATTGTAAGCGTAAGGAAAGTCCCCATAATATGCAACTGTCCTATTCTCAAACTCATGAGTATAGTGGGTTTCTATATCTAACTTGGCAGTGTCAACAAACTGAAAAACTCCTCGACTCAAATCTTGGTATGGATTGATAGAGTTGGTCACACCATTGACACCATTTACAGAGTGTTTTGGATTTTCCGAGTTGATAATTTCTGCTGAATGTTCACTGTCTTCTGCTAATTTGGATAGCTCTTGGTTTAACTCAGAAACAAGATGCGAGGATGAGCTATTACTGAGGGGAACATTGATAGAATTTTCACAGTGATCAGGTACCTGGGGCAACACAGGGATAAGTGAACCATCGCTGAGGGGAACTTTAAGTGCACTGTCACTTTCTGATAATTGTTTATAGAGAATAGAAATTTGCCGACGAAGACTATCATTCTCTCTTAATAGAGTTAAGCAATTTGAACATTTATCAGTAGGACGAGAGCCGTTACTGGGGAATTTAACAGAATTCCCTCGATATCTCAGATTGTAATCTCTTGAGCCAACTGGTATTCCAGACATAGTTTATCACAAAAAGATGCTACTGTTCGAAATTTAGTTTATGATTACAGTACCTTTGTAGCACTCCGGAGGATAAGGATAAGTGATGTCTGATAATCTTTAGGTGATAGATGGGAGTAAACTGCTTTAAAAATCGATGTCTGATAGTCCTTAGGATGTCTTTAAGATAACTTTATCATGCAACAACCATTTACATTGACATACAACCTCAATAAATGTATTCTCTTCTCCTACGGTTGAGTATAGAGGAACCATCTTTGGCGTGTATTAGGGACTTAGACCATTACAAATACCCTGCTGTAAGTTTGCAAGGTATGTGGACTAAGTGGGTCGAGAGTACTCGACTTGGAAGTGGGTGTTGAGAATTCTCAACTAAACTAGAAGATAATGATGTCCAGAAGATGAGGCAGTAGATGGAGTAGTAAAGGAGTAGTAGAGGCTGAAGGGGGAGTGATGTCATAAGGAGATGTAGGACATGAAGGGGGATGGAGGTGAAGGAGCACTATAAGTATAAGTATCAATTCTATGATAGTTCATCGATGGCGATCTGTGCTAAAGATCGGAAGGCAGTGATGCTGCCATCACTACCATCTCTTAAGATAGACCAGCATGGTTGGTCACTAGTGGAGTGCTCTTGAATGGTTTCTCTGTAGGAACAGCGGTACAGTGGACAAGAGAAGATTCGATGGTAATACTCCATATAAATGGTATACTCCATATAAATGGTATACTCCATATAAATAATAATAATATAATGGCTTTCCGATAAAACAATACAAAGAAACCAAGTGTCATGAAATAGCCATCGACGGGCAATTTTCTTTAGGCCTCTTAATAAGAGCACTTAATTGGTAGTTAAACTATGTCTCTACTACTCTGAATACAGTTGGAGACTTTGTACCACGCAAAAGAAGTCCATACACAATACAGATCTATACCACACACTATTTGAAGCTCACCATAGTTACAGGAATGACAGTTCGCGAAGCACGTCGAATTAGCTCAATTTTTTTATATAATAAAATTATTCAAACAATATACACATAATATAGCAATGACCCTATATAAAATCAACCCTTAAAGAATTCAAAAAATTCCCTTAACAATCAAAAATTACCCTTGGCCTTGTGGCTCCAAGTTAAGATCTAGACTGTTTATATCAACAATTGCAATGTTCTTTCTTGCACCCCTGTCTCCACGGAGAGAAATCACTGTTGTTCTAAGGATTTCAAAGCGAAGGCGCTTTCTGATGTATCCTACAGCGTCTGAGTACCTCTGGCCAGTGTGGTACTCCATCTTACTGGCCAGCTTCTTGACCAGTCTCTCAGCTTCACCACCCATTCCACCAGAAGTCGAGAACACTAAAGGTGTGAAGCTTCCTTTCTCCACTTCAAGAACCCTTGCATTGTAACATCGCTTTTTCTCATTTTCATGGGAAAGGTACATTGCTGGTATCGATTTGCTTGCATTGGAGGGGGCTGGGGCATGAAATACCCTTACATCAAAAAATGCCCTCTCTGAAGCATTCCAAATCGATCTTGCAGAAATGTCCAGCCTGGCTTGGTCTCCTAGGACTGTTCCCCTTGGTAATTCTAGACCATCAACTGGTAGAAGAACTGGCTCCGTCTGCACATCCTTGCATTTCACAGTTCTCATTAGTTCTGCAAAGGTGTCTCTCAGCGAGTTGTGCCGCAGTGACACATATCCACCAAGTTTGCAGATGAGCGCATGGTTTGCTGAGTATTTCTGGCCACACGTACATGTCTTAGGGCAGTCCTTTAAGTTCAGGTTGTATCTGAGAGCTATTGCATCTGAGAACTGTTGTTTATTCATCAGATATCCTTGCTCTTTTAAAGGTAGTGCTGTTAGCCAAGCACTTGCCCCTTTCTCAGCCGCTAGTTGGAACATCAACTTTGCCAGTGGTGTTGACTCGAGCTCCTGGCGTATTTCTGCTTGTTTTTGTTGATAGAAGAGATTTCGTTCAGTCGTTATCTCAATTTTCACTCCTTTACTGTGTCTCCAGTCCTCTGTGTAGTTGTCTATCTGCTTGAGAATAGCTTCTTTAAGGGGTTTTGTGGCTCTACATGAGAAATTGTACTCTCGGTCTGCCATTTCCATCATAACTGGTATACCCAATCCTCCATATCTTGGTGGTAGAGCCATTATGTTCCTTAGTTCATCAGTGCAGCTAAACAGCCTGTTAATGATAGCTGGGATAAACTCATCAGGTGTTACTTGTTCTAGAGGAGTGAGCCTATCTGCAACTCCTGGGGTAGTTCTGCACACATAGTTCCATCTTTTACTAAGCCCATACATGTATGCACTGTATGCTATTTGAGGTTCTCTTGATGCTATATCACTTAACTGTTTAAGATCACGACACCATTCTTGAACTTTTTCCTCAATGAAAGCCTCTTTTCCTTGGTCTGTTCCGATGAAGCTGCCCAGATATCGTCGACCAATGCTTGTCACATTGACATCTGGGAATAGGGTTCTTGCCTTCTCTTCGTGCTCAGGCTTGACTATCACCCATTCTTTAGAAGATTTAGGGTTGTATCCAAAGAGTGGTCCTTTAATACAGAGGTTATCCCACCACTTCCTTATTTCCTCCAGTTTTCCCCCAGCAGCAGAGTCATCAGCATACCAGATCTGAGTCACATTTCTCTCAATGTTTCCTGCATCAATCAATGGTATTGTACCACAGGCATAAAATCCCATGGCAGGTGGATCACCTTGTGTGGTCCCTTCTTCACTAAAAAGATGCTCATCTCCTCCTGCAATGAACAGTCTAGCAGGCATTCTGTAGGTGTTCATAATGTAAGTAGCAACTTCCGGACATACAATGTTCATGTTGTTGAGAGCAGCCTCTCGGTTCAGCAAGTTGAATGCATTCTCTGCATCCACTAAGATGATAGCTTCAGTTTCAGGGTCTTCAAAGCAGTCCCTTGCAGCATGGACTGCTGCTTCCACTCCTCCCTGAAGACCAGCACAAACTTGAATAGGAGCAGTTGCTCCAACCAGATCTTTCTGTAGGAGGGTCATTACTGTTTTCCCTATTATCCTTCTTAAGACTTCACCTATGCCTACTGGCCTGACTCCAGGCTTTTTATCCAGGGGGACAAGTCGACATGCTGTCAATGAGGTCAACAGCGTTGGATCCAAATTCCGGACACATAGTTTCCTTGCTATCCCTGCTATGGCATTACATAGATCCTCACACTTCTTACCAAACTGTTTAGAACACAGTAGTCTCTTCCATGCATCCGCATCCATTCCTGAAGGCCCTGCAGCACCCTGTACTCTCTTTGCTGCTTGTCTTATCGATTCCCCGTCAATACTGTCAAGTATAACCGGCTCTACCCTCTTCGCTGGTCCACTCAGACAGCTTCCCTTTGATGCAGGTGATGCCTTGGGATGCTTCTCTTTCAGCACTTTAATCACATCTGGAGTAGGTTCAAGAATCCCGGTGGCATTTTCACCAATCCACCGCATTGCTGCACTGACTTTTCCTTTCATCATGAGTCGAGTGAAGACTCTCTCAACATGGCCATGTTTATGCTTCCCCTTTCCCAATCTCCTCTGAATCTCCTGTCCTTCTCGCAGCAGCTCTTCTAGCTTACCTGCCTGCCACAAAACAAGTCTTCTCTTCAACACTTCAGTGTGTTCCTTTGCTTTGGACCTCTTTGAGGGTTTCTGCAACAGCAGTGATGGCATTATCATCAAAAGGGTCATGGTCAATGATTCCATAGCACTGCCTGATATGAAATTGTTGGCCACTTTAGTCATTTCTTCGATGAATGCTTTTCCTGCCGCCCCTGAGGGAAGCAAAAATATGTTTCTTCTCCATTTAACTATAACACCATACATTTCCTCACATTTTGTCAGAACTTCCCAACTATTCCATGGTCCTAATTTCAATCGAGATGGATCACTTACATTTTCATGATCTGGGAAACAGCACTCCTTTGCCTCTTCTACCACAGTATCAGCGTCCTTTGATGTTGTTTTTACGCAACTTGTACATAGATATTCATCATCGCTTTCACTCAGTTTCTTGTATTCTGTTTTACTGATCTTCAAGCAATTCCTATGATGCCATGAGTGACATCTTTCGCACAGCAAGCCATCGTCATACTCAGTCACTTTAAGATCGCATATTGGACAAGTCTCGGTAAGTGTCCTCAAATCCTTGATTGCTTGAGAGACAGTTTTATTTGTTTCTTCTGGGTCTGTACATTGATCTGGATTAGTAAGCCTACTAGAATCGGTATTTTTGTTCTCAACTGATTTAGATCTGGTTTTCATCATTTCCAACCCAAAAACGGGGACCACCACTGTTTTCCGAGTCGATTACCAGCAGGAGCTGTAGCTTACCGCTGACAGTCCCTACTGGATGCGGGTCTCCTTAACAGTAGTGGATCCGAATTTGGGATCTGATGGAGTAATCTCGACACCAGAGGGTTTTACAGAATATTTCGTTTTACAGAATATATCGTGACTTAGCTCAATTTAAAAACATTGTTTGTACTAAATATTTTAATAAACAATTAAAATTTTTCTAGTTGTCAAAAAAAACTTTGAACTGGTGAATGGTGATACCCGCATATTAACAAGTATGAAGTACGTTTTATATAACAATATATTAATTGACGATGTCAACTTTCTTCAATGAGAAGCATGCAAGAATCAGGCAAAGTCCTTAAACTAAGATGTATATGGTAATTTTACAAAATGTTCCATAAGTTCACCCCGTAAAATATTTATTTGAAGTTAAAATATTTATTTGTATATCGTTTGTAGTGCACTCAATTATGATACCTGGGGACCTCCGGCTATCATGTTCATAAACATATAGAATAAGGATTTGGCAGAATAGAGATTAGGCGGAATGACAGGCTGAGCGCGGCCCAGTAATCAATTATGCTTCTCGCTAGATCGGCGAGATGCGCTATTTAATACTGCATACTGTGCCGCACCGAGCTGCGATGAATTGACATCGTCAATTAACATATCGTCGATGATCGATTTAACGGGTGTAATGACACTTATAACGGGTGATACTCGTAAAATATTTGTTCCAAACTCGGCGCGCGTCCTGGTATGTTATAAACCTACAATGACACTTTATTAAAATATTTGTCAAAACCGTCGACGAGTTGGCGCGCTCGTTTTGGTTATAAAAGCCTGGGTCCAGGTAAATTATATTAATTCTTCCTTAT